TCCTGCCTCCCGGTGGGTGCGGGCAGCCGGCCCGGAGCTGCGGGGTTCGGGGTGCCTGGAGCCGGGCTGGAGAAGTTTTCCCCTTCGCTGGTGTGGAAAGACGAGCTGACATATGGGGAGGGCACCCTCCGCACCTGCTGATGGAAGGGCAGAGGTGTCCCGCCCGAGCGACCGGGAGACCCTGGTCTTAGATGTTCAGCTCTGCCTGCGGGTGCCATGCTCGGTGCTAATGAAACACCATAAAATGGGAATGATTTCACCATAAGAATCCCTCCTGGGCAGACAGGCAAGATTCAGGCCAATGGAGTTTGGTGAGAATGTGGGGTTTTCCTACCTCTACCTGACCCTGACAACAAATTGTTTGTGTTGCTGAGGGCTGAAGAAAGAAGAAAAAAAAAAAAAGTAGCTTCTTGATAACTTGCTGCTGTAGGCCTAGCAATAATTAAGACAAAGTGCTCAGGCAGGTTCTTGTCTTTGTACAATGAAATGACCTTATCAGTCAGGTTGATGTTGTTAAGTATTGTTTGAGCTGTTCTTACTGATAAAAACCCCCCAACACTTCCATGAAATTAAAACATGGATTCTTAAAATGTGGAGAACTAAGGACTTCTGGAAAGGTGACATACGGGATGATTTTGGTCAGTTTTTAATCTGCATTGGTAGGAGATCAGATGTGGTTCCATGGATTACTTTTTTTTTACCATAATTCGAGACACTTGGCTTGAGTGACTCTACTGCTGTTTTTTAAGAAATTATAGAAAGTTGTGTTTAAGATGTGTTACAGGATAGGGTTTTGTAATGATTTGTTCATAGGCAGACAAAATAAAGTTTGAAAATAATCTACCCATTGTTGAAGTTTGTCTCCATAACCTTCCTGATGTTTCTGTCATTGCTGTTAGAAGGGCGTCTTTTGAATTTGTGCCTGAGAAGATCTGAGTAGAAGGAAAGTTTCATGTGTGCGTGTGCACATACAGTTGCTGTGCTTTTTGTCCATCCTCCCAAATCTTACATGCCAAGACCTAAACACTGGTATTAAGGAAATCCAAAATATCTTGTGTTTTTGTTCCAGGTGCTGGTATAAAAGATGAGGCTGAATGAGAGCCGGACAAGATCCTTCCAGGCTCCTGTCACCATCCACAATTACCCGGGCAGGCAGGTGTATGTGTTTCCCGATGGCCGATCTGACTCGGAAGAGTCATCAGAGGAGGAACTCAACGTTATGGAACTGCGGCCCAGGGGCAGGGAGCAGCAGCGATGCAGCACTTCTCGGGACAGAGTTGGAGATGTGGTACTTCTGGAACGAGAGATTACGGAGGATGATAATCTTAACAAGCTAGCCCTGCAGTATGGCTGTAAAGTAAGAGCTGTCTCTGTTTAGTTTTAATTACTTCAGAGGTGTTTTACACCTAGCTTAGTTTCTGGAATTACAGGAAGGAGTTGTCTAATGGTTTTGACAGGGAAGAGGGTTTGCCCTGTGTATTTCATGAATGGGCAGTATCTGGATAAAACTGAGCTGGAGAAAGGCAAAAAAAACCAAAACAAAACCCAAACCACAAAAATGTTCTTCAGCTAACAGCTTAAGAAGATGTTGACAACCCCGCACCCTGCCTGACCTGCTTTCCTGTTTAATTTGAGTGACTAAGTGCAGCGTGGCAGTCGGGATTTGTACTTAGTGATTAAAGTGAGGGCAAAACGTAGGAAGCCGAGTACAGAAATGAAGGTTGGAGCCCTGCTCTCAAGGAACGCGCAAGTTTTGAAGCAAGCTGAACAGAGAAATGCCACCCTGATGGGGTCTGGTTTGGGGTTTGGTTTCTTTTCATTTATTTTTTTTGAAAGATAGGAGCTTGTATATTGCAAGGAAAGTCTAAGTCTAACAGGGGTGGACTTGGAGGGGGAGAGCCGCCCAAGCCCAGGTCGCAGAGAGCGGGTGCTGTCTGCACGCATGGGGTTCGGTTGTTTGCTGCCGTGCCAGGCAGCGCACGCAGTTCAGCCATCGGTGGCCAGAAGGCAGCGCACGCATGCAGTGAGTTTTCTCTGGGGTTCGAACATACCCACAAAATAAGTCCTCCTTGTTCCAAAGCACAGCGCTTCTTAGAAAAGCTGCTGAAAAGTGTAATTACCTGACCTGAACATTAGACGTACCCTATGGTTTATCAGTCAAGGCTGTATTTTTAGAGCCTCCCTTTATCTGCAAGCTAGGCTGTGATTAACAGGTTCCATGATGCAAACAATTGGACAGTGACCTGGATGGGGATGATGATACTGGCTCTGCTGCAGCAATACCATTGCTTAACAGCACAACAGCTGCATGGTGCAGCTGAAGCAAGAGGGTTTAGAGGAATTGCGACAATTCCTCCCCTCCCAGTCCCCTAGAAACAAAAACAAAACAAGAAAGAAACCCTGCTAGGTTCTGCTGACGAGCCTGATGCGTGTGGAGAAGCGAGTCTGGGAGGACTTGAATAGGCCTTGATTGGCACTGGTAGAGCCTGAGAACTCAGAGCTGCAGCGTTTGGCTTTGTACTTGTGACTATATGCTCGTGTCTAAGCAGTAGCGATCGCGTCATTGCTGCCGCTTATGCAGAATCACAGCACTGCGGTGAACTCAAACGAGGAAGATTATGGAAAAATCTTTTGGTTTGTAGCACGAAAAAGCCTGCTGGGCCCCATTTGCTGTACCCCGGGCTTGGTCCTGTCCCGACCGCGATGTTCACCTGCCTCTCTCTGGAGCCTTTCAGCCCCAGCAGGCACAGGTGGCTCCGCTCTGCCTGCCCGAGGCTGCTGGGCTTGTCTGGTGGGGAGAGCAAGTGGATGAGGCGGGACCAGGTAGTCAGTGTTCTCCTTCCACAAGAGAAAAACTATCCATCTGCCTCCTTCCCTTCCAGAAAAGGCACTTCTGCCTTGTTCCAGTGAAATTAAAGAGGCTCATAAATCTTTTTTATTGGGGTTTTGTGTATTTGTTCACAGACTGACATTGATCAGTTTTCATGTATTTTGTTTTACTTGTACAACTAAGCAGCTCCTGAAGGGCTACTAGGACATCCGTGAGGAAGATTTGCAGCTATGAATATTGTGACTGTGCTTTAAAAATCCAGGACGAGCTTCTCCTTGAAACCAATGAGAACTTGTCATTGGGGGGAGGTATTAAGACGGTGCAACAATTAGCTGTGTGTGTGCTACAGATAACTTGGCAGAGATGCAAAGCACTTAAAAATTCTCATTTTTCACTCTTGACCATTTATAGTCCTGCCCTGCTTTTGGCATTGTGCTTAGCTGGGACAAGAGGAGCTCGCTGTGGCCAAAAAAATGAGTACAGAAAATAAGCCTAAATGGCTTGTGCAGCCAAGTGCTCTTGCATGCTTCCCATCAGCTTTGTTTGTTGTTTCTGCGTGAGTGCTGCTCTACTTTCTGTTTCTAGAGCCTCAGCACAACATTGCAGTGTTTGATTGCAGACACTGCAGGGGTTATTTACTGTCCCAATAATTTGCTTTCGTTGGAACAAAACCAAAAGTTGAAGTACCACCTCAGTTCAGAGGCTTTGGGTGAGATGAACGTTATTTCATAACTAAATAATTTTGCAGGGTTTAAGTCCTGTTGTTGTGCTGGGGCAAGCTGTGAGGAGTCTGAAATGGCAACTGAGGATTCCTTTTGCCTCAGGGCTACCAGATTAGGATCTAGATTAAACCTCCCTTTTTTCAGATTTCTCAAGCTTTGCAGTGTAACCATGAGATTCAGGCATCGATCCCGTCTCCACCTTCCAGCAGAGCCTGGCTTTCTGCAAACGCCACCTCACAGGGCTTGCACAGTGCGTGAGCTTGACGCGTGGTTCCCTGACAGCCCCTATGGGCTGGACGGGAGATCCGCAGAGGCAGAGCTGCTGCAGCGCCTCGCTCCTGTGGCCCCCGGCACTGTCCTCTGACCGGTGGGACCTCCCCTGGGCACTTCCTGCCATGCTGGAGGCTGGGACCTGCCCACGCCCACGAGCAGCATAGCCTGCACGTAGCCCTGAACGTTTGTTGCAGTGGCAAAGGAGATGCCCAGGCTCCCTTCTGGTGCATTGGCTTATTGTCTTTCAAAAGGAGATCTTTGCCCTCAGCCATGGATGATTTTGGCACTGATGGCACTGACACATTTGCTTAGGAAGTGCTTTCTTGTTTTCAGTTCCCCAGTTCCGTTGGTAGCCTTGAGCTTGTGAGGCGGCTGTGAATGCAGTTCCTACAGTAATTCACTGGATTCTGAAGGAACAAATCTCTCTGAATGTTCAGTCCTCACTCTGTGTCTTTGGTATGATACATCAGAGGTGGTTAACCTGTTTGTGTTGCCTTTCTCTTTGGGATCGTGCTGTTTTCTTTGTTTGGGGCACCTCCAGCCTTTCCCTCATGGTTCCTTCATGTCTCCTTGGCTGCTTGGTGGAGCTGCTTGCACACACTGACGGTCCTGTCCGTTTTCCTTGACTGAGAAGATCATGTACTTACTTATTAATAGGTGGTTGTGAGTGGACGCTGTATTAAACTGTCTTCCCTTATGTAACATGAAATAGAGAAATGCTGCTTTGCCTTTACCTTTTCTTTGACACTGTCTGTCCTTGGAACGTGCGCTGTACGTATGGATTGTTGTTTCTTGGTCTTCTTACTGTTGTTTGCAGCACCAAGCTGGTTGGGAATGCCGGTTACCAATGGGAAGCCTACACACAGACCACCAGAGATGATTCCAGATGCGTGGCGATTATTGCCTTGTGCTTACCTTCAGTGGGAGCACTTGCTAGTGGTGGAGAAATGAGCTGCTGTCCTGCAGGAGGGGGCTTGGTGCTTGGGGACATGAGCAGAGGGTGCTTGTGCCTGGCAGGGAGAGCTGCTCGCCTGCGCTCTGCTGGGCTGTGATGGTGCTTTCCAAAGTGCAGTGTGCTCTGAAGAGGGAGCTCTGTTCACTCCGAAATCACTTTCTGAGCAGGAGATGGGGTTTGCCTGCTCACACTGATGCTGTCCTTACCTTAAATGCTCAGGTACTAGTTAAGGTAGGAAAACTGATTTTAAAAGGATCCGTTATAAAGACTCTTCTTGCCTTAAGTGAGAAAGTGAGAGAAGGGTTAAGAAAGCCAAAGGAAGGAAAACCAGTATTAACCGAAATACAGTCTGTGAGAGATACAATAGCATTAGGGGGGGTAACTGGTTTTACGGGAGACTGTCTCTACCCTGCAGGACCTGGAGCATCCCTGGAACAGCTGGGGAATCTCTGCAGAACACCTGAGCCACTTGCAGCCAGGGCTTGCTCTTATTTTCTGACTGCTGCTTGCACACTGGTTTTGTACCTACTTCTTGCTTCAGTACTGAGTTATCCTGCACTAATACCCGTGTCCTTCTTGGATTCTGTAGGTTGCAGATATCAAACGTGTCAACAACTTCATCCGGGAGCAGGACTTGTATGCACTGAAGTCCATCAAGATCCCCGTGAAGACCCACGGGCTCTTAACGGAGAATGGCCGAGAGCTAAAGCCGCTCTCAGCTGCGCCCTCCCAGAGCGGCCTGACGCTGGTGGACTTACCGGAGCCTGATGATGGCGAGAGCTGCTCCGCTGAGGGCAGGCACCTCAGCGACTACTTCAAGGGGATCGACAAGAGCATTCAGGATGCGGTGCAGGCAGAGGTCCAGCTAAATGCAGAGTATTGTGTGGATGTACTGGAGAGGCCGCTGCCTGAGTCGGGGAAGCGGGAGAGCAGTAATGGTGCGGACTGTGGAATCCAGTGGTGGAATGCGGTTTTTATTATGCTCCTGATAGGAATTGTCCTGCCAGTATTTTATATCATCTATTTTAAAACACAAGGCCTGGTGGCCCATACCTCCAACGCAACAGTAACCTCAAATATTTCAACAGATATATTGGAAGGGAAATTACCACAAAACTCAGTTGTAGAAAAGAAATCCTAAGCAGGGGGAGGCAGCCAAGTACAGCCTCTCCTCTCGGCACTGCGGCCCTTATGCCAGTGACTCTGACTCGAGTGCGTTCAGGGCAATAACAATTCAGATTATTTTTTATGTTTTTAAGTAGCTGATGGTGTTACCCGAACTTAACTGAAAGTGAGATGATGTGATTTTTATGGGAAAATAAGGATGCTTTGTCGCTCAGAAAGAAAATGAGGCAGCTGGCTTAACACCCGTGAACTCTGTTGACGGGAAGTATTTTGTAGCAATTATCTTCGCTGCTTCAGGTATTCTTAATGCCCTAAGTGAACCCTTTGCTGCTGAGATGAAGAGTGCAGTATTAATGTGATTGGAAAGTTGGGGGGTGTTTGTGTTGTAAGGAAGATGCCTAGAGTGAAAGCGAGGACTACTCTTTTTCTCTGAGCTGTGATTTTCTCTCCTGCAGACTGGCAATTTTGGCATCCTTAACACTAAAAATGATTTCTAGCACGTCAAGCTGCGTGTGCCGCAGCACGGGGATGCTGACAGCACCTCACCTTGTCATCCTTTTGAGCAAGTGTTTAAGCTGTGTTTATTGGGGTGCTTCAAGGCCACCGCTGGGCCGAGTGAACCCAGACCTCTTCCCCTTGATGAACTCCTTCAGAAATGTCGTGTGACAGCCGGTGTCCCTGCAGGCAGAGCTCGTTGCTGAAGCCCGGCTTTTGCTGGGGAGTTGCTCGCCCAGCACCACTGTGTCAGTACACCCGCAGGTGGGCAGAGAGGGGAGGAGGGCATCAGAGCAGCGTAGGCCTGGGGTAGGTAGGCCACACTTCTCAAAGGCTTGTTTGTTGGGGGGCAGATCTAGCTAGTATTATGTTAAAAATAGAAAATAATCATAATGGTGCATCTTAGACATGCAGTTTGTCATGGACTTGAGTTTCCTTGTTTGTAGTCTTCATGTGAGAGAGAGGGAGCTTTGCCAAATAGCAATTTCCAAGGTCCAGGAAAGACACATTACCATAGACAGTCACAGAAATAACAAAATGCTGCAGGGATGGGGACTGTGGAGCTGCTGTGTGTGAAACGTGTCTGTGCCTGCTCGTGCTTCCGAGGGCAGAAGACAAGTGATGTCCCCAGATGTCAGTAAGACTGAGGCCTGTGCTGCTTGGGACATGCTAGAGGTGAGTGGAGAAAAGCTTTGCTGCAGCAAAGAGTTTGCCTCAGAAAATGAATTCAGCAAATTCTTGGTCTGTGGGCAGAGATAAACACTCTCTTAGGACTAAACACGGTCACACAGGGCCTGGCTGGGGATGCAGCCAGAACCTGTTTTGGGAAGAGTCCGTCACGAGGGGGCTTGGCTGGTCTGCCAAGGGCAGAGCGATGGCGTCTGCAGGGAGGGGGACAGGCGGCACTGGGGCTTCCCAGCAACATGGGGATCACCACAGCACGCACACAGAACCGTCTGGTGGTGTAGCGATAACCTGTGTTTCCTGCAACCATAAAAACAAAACAAAACAAAACACTAACTCAAGTGCTCAGGAAAGCCTGCGTGAACCTACTTTAGTAAACGAGGACTCTAAAAGTATTGTATACTGAGGGAAGAAAACCTAAAACACCAAACAACTTGTATTTTTCTTCTGTGAAGGAAATGTATCTCTCTTTGTTGGGGGGCGGGGGATGGTATTACTACATTTTTAAAATAACGCAAAATGAAATAAAAGCACAAGGGGCACCACCCACCCCGGCTGCCCTGCATTTCTTCTTGTCACCGCAACACGATGGCGCAGGCTGAGCGCTCTTGCCTTGCCACATCTTCCCCCCGCCCTAGCAGAAAAGAGTTGAGAACACCGTTCTCTGCTCGAGTTTTCCTCACGCGAAAGCCATTTGTTTCCGGGTGCCCAGCCCCACTGCAGTGAGCCCGGGGCAGCCCTGTTCCCCTATCGTGGGTTTCACAAAGCAGCAGCGACAAAAGGAGACGTGATCGCCTGGAGAGGGGCAGGAGGGATCTGGGGTCACCAGCGTGAATATGCGCAGGTTTGCTGCAAATTTCCATAAGCGTTTTCTAATAAAGTTCTGACAGAGCGTCAGTTCTTAATGTGAATGTATTAACGAGTGTGTGTGTCCCAGAACTGCGCTGGGCATTAAAAGCACCACAACTTCCCGAGTGGCTCTGGAGCGTGTCAGATGCTTGGAGAGGGGGCAAAGGCGCTCCCGGGAACAGAGCTCTGCAAATACGAGAGAGGCTGGAGTACACAGTAAAAGCCAGTATCTTTACTTTAGTGAATGCAGGATACAAATATTTTACAACAACCTCTAGCATTTTCTTAACCATTTGATAAAAAGTTCACTAGAATATTTATTGTATATTGAAGAAAAAACAACACATTCAGGGAAAAAAATTGAGATTAACTTATTTTTTCTTAAAAGATTCGTCTCAAGGATGGCAACAAAGTCCAGCTTGTGCCGCCAAACGGCTTATCATCATTAAACCGTGAACAGCTTCTTTGTGAACTGTTGACTACAAACATTTACCAAATACATAAATCTCTTTTAAAAAAGCCATTTTAAATATAGCAAAGCAGTGTTCTCTTGCACAGCAAAGTGAAGAAAGTTTCTACCAAGATTTAAATGTTTACATTTGTTAAGTCTTTCTTTCACATTCTGATTTAACTTCTTCCCATGATCAATTGTTAGGAGTTATTTTGTTCCTTATTTACTATGTATTTCTTGTGCGCACAGTAATTCGCAAGTTTCTGATGCATTAGTGTCCTTTAAGTGAAAGGAAAGGCTAAAGCATTTTTCTCTGACGAATCCCTGATAACATGTATTTTTAAATACTATAGTGAGAGCTCGAAGATGGAGAGGTGATTTGTCACAACAGAGATAAAAATCTTAAATCATTCAGACTTCAATGGGTTCAGACTAGGATTGGATCCACTTGCAACTTCAGTCAGTACAGTTAATTAAAAAAGTAGGTTTTACCTGTTGAAATATCTGTGCTATGTCGTCGTTTTTTTTTTTTTATAAAACATTTTTACAATTTCTAAAAAAGTATGTTCCAAAGTCAGTTACCTCTTATTAAAAATCAGGATTCCCGTTCACTCAACGGCGAGAGATTCTCTCTCTCTGTGGAAAGACTCGTTCTGCCAAGTCTGTTGGAGGGTCTGGGGCAACACGTGAAGAGCCCCTTTCGCAGCTCTTGAGAACCGGTTATTTGTGGGGTTTTTTTAATTCATTGGTGCAATTTCAATACAAACTCTAACCCTTTATGTAGCTTTTTTCTTTAAGAAAACAGTAATCGTACTGTTTAAAAACCTGCATAGAAATAAAGACTATTGAGATACAGTCAGCAAAGCCATCTTATAAGGCACACAAGAAAATAGACAGTAAATGTGAATGCAGAACTCCCACTCGGATGTACAGCAAAGTTCATATATGTGCATAAATAATGAAAAAAAATCACGTAACTTCTCAGAGCATTAAAAGGTTCTCTGAACTGGTAAGTGAATTCAGTCACTTCGGAAACAGTTGCCATTAGAGAGCGTCTCATTTTCCTCTACGCTTCTGAAAACCGGTAACTACCACACATGGAGAGAGGTTTCCAGAGGTAAGTGGCTGAAACAAACTGAAAGCTGCACGGTTTCTGACAGTTGCCATGACAACAAGAGATGGGGTTTGGAAGCCGCATGTGCCGACTTTGTTCTTCAGTCACACGTTACAGCAAGCAGCCGAGCAGAGAGCCTGCCCCCCTGGATTTCCATTTCTCACACTTGGTTACAGTATCAAGTAGGTGATTTTTTAAAATTTAAAAGAAAACAACTAAGGTCCAAGTAAAAACTTAATAAATACCAGGGATAACTTTAAAGGAGTTTGGATAATAGAACAGCACTGTAGCTTCTTCTCCAGACCCAGAGCTACCAGTGGCAAGGTTGAGTTAGAGCTCCTCAGCGCGGCTCCCAGGACCTCGGGCACCCGCAAAGGGACCGGATCTGGCCGAGGCGAGAACCCTCCCTCGTGCAGAACCGACTCCACCGAAGGCACCGGGCGGCTGCTGCTACGCCCG